GGGAGACGCTTGGGGGAGGAGTTCCAGGTTCTCAGGAAGTGGTGAGGGAAGCTTTGTCCCTGCAAATCACACCCCAGCTGAGGCTAATCTTCCTCTCTGCCATTCCTACGTCACAGTTTCCCCGCCTGGCTGTACACCAGCTCCTCCTCTTGCCGGAACGTGAGTCTGAAACCCGGTGCCCGCCCGGTGATCCGCTCATGATGTGCATCCAGCCACTTGCTAGAGCGATGAGGTAACACACGTCTCCAACGGGAGCGCAGCGGAGACGGGCCCTGGCAGCTCTGTGCACGTCTGTCGATGGGATGCCATCCCGTCCTGAGCGGAGAACTGAATGCAGCGGGCTCCACTGTCTTCGCTGCCCCTTGGTGTCCCCAGGGGACACAGCTGTTCACACACATCTGCACACTGAGTCCCAAACCCTTCCTAGTCGAACCACCCCACGTGAAATCCCTGACAATTGTCCCCACGGCGTGTGTCCGTTCATCCGGTGAGATACATTTTGTCCCGACTATGTCAAAAAAAAGCACCACGTTATCTCATATTTACAACCAAGCCCATGTCTCCCAAAGGAAGACCACCACCACCACCGACAGCAAGAGAAGCTCACCGGCGGGATCTGGGTTCTGGCAGTATTTATTTATAAAATCTACATGTCTCCAATGCATCTGCCCTAAACACAACCTCAACTGTTTATCCTCTGTCCATGGCCGCTCAGGTCCACGCTGTTCCTGCGGAAACGTGTGCATCTTCCGGGCGGCGGGGTCCTCTCCAGGATCAGTGCTTTCCAGGGTGCAATTGGATCGTCATTGGGAAGAGCAGAAACAAACAGAATCTCCAAGGTTCCAGGGCTGCGTTATCTCGTGATGAGTGTTGCCTTCCGCCCTCTGGAATGCAACCGCTCTGGTCTGGCAGTCCACCCGTCCTCAAGAAGGACTGTTAACCAATGAAAGTTAGCGGCTATTTAAAAAAAAAAAGCACTCTCGGAGCAGTGATTCTTCTCTCCGAACAGCCACAGATGATCCGTCACTCGAAGCTGGAAAAGCAACGTGGTGATCGCAAGCGGTTTACACGGCTTTCAGACTCGTCCGACTGCCACACACAGGGACGAACACATTTTCTACGTGCGGACGGAGCAAAAGCTCGGCCCGCAGATGCTGACCAAGCAGGGATTCTGCACAACCTGCGGGTGTTTCCTGCTCTCCGCTCCAATTTTCTTCTTTTCCAGGCTGCCGGCCGCACCCTGAATCCACAGCCCCTTTGCGCAACGCTGGTTTGAATCTAACTCAGGGGAAAGAGAATACAAAGGAAGTTTCTGGTTTCCTGTTGAGGGGAAGTCTTCACAGCGCGACTAGCGAGAGCAGAGGAGCAGCGCCCGCCACACTGAGTCACTCTGGCACCAAACGCAGCCATCTCCCCAGGCTGGCACAGACCCAGGCAGAGAGCACCCAACAGGAAACTCGAGAGGAGGAAGTCCTTTTGGTCCCCAGGGATGTGAGAAGATACCATCAGTTACACACATACAAATAAAAACTTTGGTTAGCTGCTATTTCGCAACCATGCCGCCCAGCAAAGCTTAACCAGTGAAGGCAACTCTGGACTTTATCTGCCCGGAGATGGTCCCTGAGGACGTCATATCAGCAAGCTTCACTAAGCAGCCTTTGTCTGCGATACAATTACCTTCCCCCAACTTGCTGCCCTTGGAGACCCAAAGTCCTTTTACTTTTATCTTATCACTTCTCTAAACATTGCCTGTTTTTTGCTGTAGATACTCAAGAAGCTGGAATTCCAAGCCGGTTGCTTGAGAACTACTCGTTCTCTGGGTACCTTCCATGCAGATGTGAAATACAGACATTAATACACTTCCCTCTGTTTTTCCTGTGTTCATCTGTCTTTGGTTACAGGGGGCCCTGTGAACTAAACACTTCAGAGAGTTGAGAAAAAAATATGTACATTTCTCCCCCTCAACACTCCCAAAGACACCTCAGCCTCATTTCTTCCCCACGTCTACACATCACAAATAACATGTGATTCTTTTCCCCGAAACGTGTGATTGGAAAAAAAAAAAATCTCAGCAGAATTAAACCCCGTGAGCTTCATGGCGGTGGTAGGAAAGTCTAACTCCGACAGGGAAAAAACTGTCTGAGTCAGAAAAAATTCCAGATAGTATCCCTGAAATCCCACCAGGATTTTCAAACGCCGAATGAGTGAGAATATTCTATTAGCCGCGTTCCCTTCTAAATTGCAGCATGCAACCAGGAATATACAATCTTCGGGAAGAAAGTGCTTTGCAAATATACGAACAAAATCATGTATTTTAATATCACCAGGTGTTAAAGCTTCACAAACAAAGAAAAGAGAAAGACCCAGAGCAAGCAGTTAAATGAAAAGCAATTAACTTTTATCAGAGCCAAACAGGCTGGAACAGTAAAACCCACTTCCTCTGCCCTGTGGGCAGAAATGGCTCTGACAACTTTCACAGACACCCACGGGGACAGGAGACCACAGCTATGAAGAAACTGAAAAAAAATCAAGCCCACGTTTGGGGGCAAGGGAATCCCGAGAGACCTGGCATTCAACAGATGTCAGCTGCTGTAGGTGTCTGGAGTTTTTCAGAGAGCACAGGCCGCTGCCCGGGACAAAACCGCCTTTGCCCCTGGCTCAGTGCACAGCCCTGGCAACAGCACCCTGAAGCGAATTCTCAAGGATCCATGAATTTGTGCTGCTTTGCAGTGCGCGATGGGATTCTGCTAACCAGAAGAGGGCTGAATCAGCGCAACCTCTACAAATACCAGACACTCGGGGTTTTCCACCCTGAACGCTGTTGGCATTTGGAACCAGACTAAGTCCCTGGGGTGGGGACGTGCTAGGCCCTACAGGATGCCCAGCGGCCGCGTCCCTGGCCGCCACCCTCTCTGCATCCAGCCCGCGCTACATCCCACCTGCACCCACGGGAATGTCTGCAGATATCTGTGAACACAGGGCGCTGGGTCCCCAAAATTCTGAAATCGGGCCAGTGCTGTTGGCACTAGACTGGGAAGACCGATTCAGGGCTCAAGGAGCTTTTGTAGCTAGAATGGAAGCCGAGGCAAACACGGGCACAGTCTACAGGAAAGTGTGTTTGCAGCTTCCCCAACTGGAAAGTAACCTTCCCTGACAAAGCCACCGCACCCCACGCACCCCCATAACGCAGCCACCATGCCGGCTTACTGAACACATCCACAATCCTGCAGTGCTAAGCACAGCCTGCACCCAAATCAGGCGGCTCCAGGCAGGCTAAGGCTGTTGTGGGTTTCAAAATAGTGAAGTGGCTTGTTCGGGGCCCAGAGAATACAAGGCTGTCCAAGTTCCTCCTCCCCCATGAGGTGGACCCCCAGGCCTGCCTGCAAATCTGAAATCCCAGAGTTCCAAAACCCAGCCAGGCCCTCACATGCACCAAGATTACCGCCTGGCGCTCCCTGAGCTCCTTGGCGGTGGAACAGTGATGGTTCTGCCTGCCCCATGTCCTGTCTCCTTCCCCAAGACACTACACCCCTGGGAGACCAGAATGTTTTTCTCCGGCACCAGGCACACAGTAGGTCCAAAGTAAGAAATGAACGCATGAAGGATGCATGAAGGCACAACCAGACAGACACAGGGAAAACCCTTTCAGCAGGTGTCATGGGAACAAATGCCACTGACGGAAACCTACAGGCGAAGCCTATAAGGAAATCAGGTCCAGGTGGCAGCCGGCCAGAGAGAAGGAAGGACATTCAGGAAGGAAAGGGAAGACAGGAAGCCCCACGTGGGTCCTCCCCCGCCCGCTATAAATTCCTCCAAGGTTTTCCCCATGGAGAACACTTCCTTTTCTCTAACTTCTACCACTTTCTAGGATTCGGGGAACACGTTTTAAAGGTGTGCAAATTCTCCCTAAAAAAAAAAAATATAGGGCCAGGCTCCTAAGTGAAGCTCTGGACTGAACCAGAGACCATCAACTCGAGCAGGAAATTTACGGGCCCCAAACCTGGCCTGGTCCGCCCTCCCCAGATCTGGGCATGCGCGCTTCTCATTCCTAAACTCCGACCCCCGCAGAAGGCCAGACCTCAGACCACCCCCGCCCGGCAGTCGGGTTAACACTCTGCCCATATTAAGGAGCCAAAACTGCACCGGTCAGTGGAAAAAGTCAGTTAGAACATACCGCACGCAGCTGGGGTTTTTGTTTTGTTTTGTTTTGTTTTTTCATTTGAAAAGGAGACCGAAAAACACAGTTCTAGTAACCACCAGAAATCAATAGTCCGGGTTCGCCATAGGGCGTGTGGGGGTGACAAGGAGATTTTCCTTCTCTTGATACTTTTTCCCCCCGCTGCGTTTTCCGAATTCTGCACCGCACCAGGCTGACGGCTGGTTAGGAACACACCGCTCTGGGCCCCGTCTGTTTTCACAAGGGCCAGGCGCCCCGCATACCCGTGGCACGTACGCGCCAAGTATTTTTTCAGCGTTGTCAGGGCCCCAAGTTTTTTTCTAACTTTTCTTTCCCCTCCCGGCCGGGTCGCAGCGCTTCCAAATTTAGGCCCGGGACGCAGGGCGCGGCTCCCGGGCGGCCCGCGCGCGCCTAACAAAGACCGAGGTCCTTGACCCCCCGGAGGGGGGAGGACAGAGGGAGGTGAGGGGAGCTGCGAGGGGGCGGAGAACGCAATGAAAGTCACCACACTTGGGGACAGGGGGGGGTCGGATGCCACCTGTCCTGCAGGTCTCCCCTACTTTAAAAGTTTGTGACGACGGGAACAAACGCTGACAGCCGCAGTCTGGAATGCGTCCAAGCCGGCCGCAGGAGGACAGCTGGAGGAAAGCAGCGCCGCCTCCGCGGGGCGTTGGCCGCCCGCGGGCACGGCGCGTCCCGCCAGACCCGCAGGGAGCGGAGCCGGGGGTCCCGGCGCGCCGGTGCTGCCCCCGCGCTCCCGGACGCGGATCCCTAGGCCCGGCCAGCGACCCCTGTTTCCCGACCCCCACCCCAGCCAACCCACCCGGCCCGGTCGTCCGCTCACCCGGGGCGGCCACCAGAGAGCCGAGCAGGCCGAGGAACAGCAGCGCGAGGGCGGCCCAGCGCGCCATGGTGCGCGCGGTGCCACGGAGGGACAGTCCCCAGAGTGGTGCGCGCGGGCCGCGGCAGCGGGATGAACCCCCCCCCCCCGCCACCGGGCGGGGCGGAGCCGGGGGTGGGGGTGGCGGTTGGGGAGGTGCGGCCCCGCCCCCGCCGCGCCCGGCCCCGCCCCGCCGGGCCGCCCCGAGCTCAGATCGCGCGGGAGCGCGGGACCTGGGTCCCCCCGGCGGGCGGCGCAGACTGCGAGCAGGAGAAACCCCCTCCCTGCGCAGGAACGCGTAGGCCGCCTCCCCACTCGCCGCTAACCGGTCCCCCAGGGCGGCGCCAACGGGGAGCGAAGCGAACCCCCCCAACATTCCCGCGAAAGTGTGGGCCCCCCTCTCTGTACAGACCCCCTACCTGGACCCCCAGGCGGCCCCTACCTGTACGGAAGTGAAACCGCTTCCCTTCTCGGAAAGCTGCGGGCCCCCTCCCCGCCCGCCCCTGGAAACCCCTCGCCGCCTCTAACAGGAGATGGAACGAAACTCTTCCCCGTCGCGGAAAAGTTGGGGCCCCTCCCCGCTGCTAAGCGGGCGCTCTCGAGGCGGAGCGAAATGAAATGCCCTCTCTGCTCAGAACAGTGGGGGACCCCAGCCCCAGGGGCAGCACCCCCCACCCAAGGTGCACTCTGGGGTAACCGAGCTGGGGGCGCGCAGCGGGGAGGGATGGCGGGGGTGGGGCTTCGAGGCCCGGCGCGCACCTCCCCTCTGCACCCCACCGAGCACTTTCCCCTCTCAAGACAGCTTCTTCCTGCAGGCCCCGGGGCCAGGGTGGGGGCCAGTGGGGGCTCTGGTCACAGTGGGGACCCCAGGAGCACACCTCCCACCCCTATCCGGGCGCCAGGCCTCCCTGGTTCTGGTCCTTGCGTGACTCGCCCCACAGTGGGCTCTGATTCTAGACCGGCACCCCCACCCCAGGCCGCAGCTGCCGGGCAGCTGACCTTTGCCCCCGACTACACTATTTTTCGTATTAACATATTAGCCTAAAATTCTATCCATTTGCCTCCAGGGTAGTGGAACGGCGTTACAGCCTGATAAATATCCCTGAATATTCCTGTGTGGCACGCCCCGCACCTGACCTACCTGTTGGCCAATTCCTGCCCCTGCGGACGCCTGTGTTCTGCTTCCCCGGCCCCTTAGCCCCCCGGCCGCCACAGGCTACCTGCGCCCCTGGGGCAGACACATGCCACACCCAAGGGGCTGGCCCTGCTCCCCTGCACCCCAGCGTCCCCCTCAGCCATCTGAATGATGCCTGTCTTACTGAGACAGCAGTGTGATCACGCACACCTGAACGGAGAAAAAAAGTTTTTTCTTGTCTTGGCAGACAAAAGCCCAGCAGCACGACCGTGCTTTAAGAAGCACGAGGATAAAATGCAGCCGTTTTTCATGGAAACACTGCCTTGGAAGGGCTTGCTCTTGTGAGTAACCTGGGTTGACTGCTCAGTTGGAGCCCGTTTCCCTATATGTTTCCCTCCCTCTGATTCTCTGCCAATGAGCACTTTCTTTACCCCTGGCTGCAGCCTTGGGTTGGGGCCCATAGAATGCGTGGACCATAGGTGAGGGCAAACAGGACGACCTCAGGGGCTCCTCTTGTGAGGCAAGGGGATGATGGAGCCGTTGCAGCCACTTTGGCACCATGAGGTAAGTCACCCTAGGATGAAGCAGAAAGCCTGGAAACCAGGGGCTTCATGCCAACCCAAACTCCAGAGCCTTCTCCCTCCCTGTGAATTCCTCAGTTCCTTTCTATTAGCTCCAAAAGAAAGGCCCTACCTGGCTCCTCTCCAGCCTCTGCCAGTTGGTCCGCACTGCAGCTGAACCTTCCCTGCGCCACCCGTCTGTAATATTCCAGAAGAGTCTGGAGTCTGGGTGCATTTCATCAGGGAGGGCACAGGTTGCTATGATCAGCTGTAATAACTGTGCATCATTGCTCTCCGGATGCCAGGGTTTGAGGCTTGTTATTTATGTTCACACAGAGAGGCATTTGGAAGACTTCTGTTCCTAATTCATTTAGATGCCTTCTGGCCTTTTTTCTTTTTTTTTTTTTAAATGCTACCTTCCCTTGGCTCAAAATACTAATTTCCATAATATTCTGCAGACACTTCAAAATCGACTTCAAGGAGCTCTAACTTCCAGCCTGAAAATTAAATTAATTGTGAAAGCCTCCTGTGTCCTATCCCAATGCCATAGGAAGCGTCTTTTAAGGCTATGCGGGAGACTGAGGGAGGGGTGTCCAACTCCGTGCTGGGGGGCGGGGGGTTCTTGCTTCTGAGTGTTTTACCAGTGCGACCTCAGGAAATGACCCAAGTCTGGCCATTTTCGATGGCCCCAAGTGGTAATTTTGTATGTTCCTGCCTAACCCCTTGGTCACCCCCAGTCTGTGGCTGGGACCCTCAGTCTCTCTTCAGTTTTTCAGGATTAATTCACTATTGGACTATTTGGACTATTCATACCGAGCTCTGCAAACTGCTTATATATGTATACTTCACGCACAGACAGCATATGAGTATATTCTTTCAGCGTGCATGCTCGTGTACACACACACACACACACACACACACACACACATGCACCATTGCAGACTGGCGTCTCCTCCCACTTTCCAGGGAGGACCTTTTGTTTCTCACCCACGGGGCTTTGTTTACGGACCTGGGGAATGTGTCTCTATGCACAACTGCAGAGCCCAGAGGAGGCATGAAAAACCAACTGCGCAACCCAGAACATGGAACTCCAGGAGCAGGAAGGAAAGTCCTGGGGAAGGGGGCGTGGCGTCGGCACCGCTCCCGATGCGGAGCACATCCTTGCAGGAGGGAAAAGACGCCTGGAGAGAAACCCTGGACTCCTTCCCGGGTTGCACGACTCCCACTGTCGTGTTCCTCTTCCCAGGGAAGCTGCCCCACCCCTCCCTCCCTTCTTTCCCTCCCTCTTTCTGAGTAATGATTTTGGGGAAGTCTGTTACAACTCCAAGGAGGAGGGTCTCCCCTGTGCCTCCCTCTTGTTTGGGGTCCACATGGCTCCTTCTTCTTGTCGCTGTTGTTCTCTGCGTTGTGCCGTGTAAAGGAGGCAGCTGCGTCCTGATTTCTTCGACGGCGCAACCTCTTGTTCTCTCCCTGGATTATCTTTGGCGGGTTTGACATTGTTCTCCTCTCTGTAGGTGGAACCCTACGAGTTCCTCCGGCGTGGGGGAATCAGGGCGGGATCCCCGTTTAGCAGCAAAGGGAAGGGATTGGTGAGGAAGGAAGCCAGAGGCTTTGAGCTAGAACTGAAGCCCTGGCCAGGCTGCTGCCACCTCCAGAGATTCCTGCACAGTGGTCGGCGCTGACCAAGCCGCCATGGGTCAGGAGCACCTGTCACTTCCTCTTGTCATAGGTCCCACTGTGTAGTCAACTGTGCCCTTCTGTGGCAAAGCCCCAGACACTGGGACTTAAACCACGGTCATTTGTTCTCTCACGTCCTGGAGGCTGGAAGTCCCAGATCAAGGCGTCTCAGGGCTGGTTCCTCCTGAGGCCTCTCTCCTGGGCGTGTAGACGCCGTCTTCCCCCTGTGTCCTCACGTGATTGTCCCTGTGTGTGTGCCTGTGTCCTCGTCTCCTCTGCTTATAAGGAAACCAGTCCTGTTGGATCAGGGCCCACCCTAGTGCCTCAGTTTACCTTAATCACCTCTTTAAAGACCCATCTCCAAACACAGCCAGAATCTGAGGGCCTGGGGGTGAGGGCTTCAATGTATGAATTTGGAGGGCACAGTTCAGCCCCTAACACACATGGGAGAGGACCCCACAGGACATGGGAGTTATATCTGCAGCTGGAGGTGTAGGGTATCTCCACAGGCCCCTCCAAGTTTGAGGTGTTCACACACCACCTGTGCTGGTGAGGACTTGCCGACAGGTAGAGGAAGATCCCGTTCACCCACAGGCCCCCTCGGCTCACGCACACCCAGTAAAGCGCGCTGTTAGGCTCCCTTCCTCTAAGCATATTCTAACCAGCTGGTCGAATGATACGTACTAAGGTTTAGCCAAGAACTGTGTCTTAACATCAGTATTGATAGAACAAGGAATATACATTTCAATTTTTTAAAAAATAGCCTTTTCACCAAAAAAGCATTTTTGGGACTCCAAGAAAAGCACTTCATATGTTTTTTTTTTCCTCCCCACCTTCCCTTACCGCAGTGGACCTTGAATTAGAGGAGCTAAGAGCATCAGGAGACCAAAAAGCCCTCGGGGAAATAAAGAGATGTCATGGGTTCTATCAAGTTCATAGATTCAACCACTAAAGCTCAGAGACAGCTCTGGGGCAGGAAGGAGGAATTCCACCTGTGCCCATGGCCAGACTTTGAGTGGGAAAGGTGAGATGGTGCCCAGTCACCTCCCAAAAAAACATTTAGAAGCAAGACCAAGGAGTCTGAGCATAAGTCTTCCTGCGTGATGCACTCTTGGAACGATCGGCATTCCGAGACGTGCCGACCGTGTGCTCTAGGAAAACCGACGGGAGACAGAAGAGGTCACACAGCACGGGCAGTGACCAAACAGCCGTACAGGGGGACAGCCTCGTGGTAAAAGGCTGCACGACCAGCTCTACACATCCAGAGCATTGTCTGAATAAATACATACAGAAAAGAGACAAATGTCCCGTGCAGAATAATCTCTACTAGTTAATGTCTATACTGCAGCCCTCAAGGACAAGGAACACAACTCCCCATGTCTTCCAAAAAGTATGTGATAGCATTAAAAAGGGAAGGGGAGGAGTAACTTTGCTGCGGCAGAATCTTGCAAGCGCCCCTCCGAGAGGGGTGCAGTTGATGGGTGGGTGGATGAACAGAGGCACAGGCGCGTGGCTGGATGTTCTCAGCGCCCTGGTCACCCCAAATCATGGCCACCAGACTTCCTCAAGACGTCTAGACTCTTCTTGGATAGTCATAGTCGAAATGGACAGGTTTGCTGTCTCATGTGTGCTTATGTCTCTGGCCCACTGTTACCTGGAGTCAGGTCAACTCTGGAGCCTTTTTCCAAGCTTGAGGTTTTGATGT